AAACCCACCAGCCACTCCTCGGAAGGAAGGTTGGGCAATCCTACTTCCGTAGTGATACTGCCTCGGAAACCCAAGGAGGGGTCGCTATGAGTCGGAGCCGACTCGACGGCACATAACAACAACAACAACAAGTTAGTTTGGTTGGCCTAGCAGGAACGTGGAGTTGTGCATATAGCAGTGACAGCATTCAATGCATAAGAGGGTGCTTTAGACTAAAATGCCAGCTTCATTTGAATAATAGTCCTGTGTTTTCACTAAACCTCCCATTGCATGGAACTTTGGGATTCTTTGATGCATAAAAATAAATTATTTTCTGACTAAAAGTTTCAAATCAGCCAGAATTTTTTATTGGAGATATATGAAGGTCACAAGATAAATGAAACAAATTTCTAACTTAGAGTGCTAGGGAGACAGTTTAAATGTCCCTGAATTTATCACGTGGACCGTTTTACAAAAGAAACGTGCTGTTTTCAGAGTAGATTTTGGTTATGACACTGATCTTATCCCAACTTTGTCCCTACAATAACTAGATATTATACTTTTAGATTTCTGCTGTCTCATATCGCTAAGTAGGGAAATAGTGAAATAAACCATGGCAAAGTCATTCAGTAGAATACTATATAGCCATTAAAAATGCTGGTTATGAAAACTACACCTCAAAATGGTAAACAATTTTTATCTTAGAAGAAAAAGTAGAGCATATTTTGATCACAGTGCATTAAAGTAAAAATCAATAAAATCCATTTTACGGGAGGGAAGATTCTATTTAGGGAAACACTGAAAAGTGATCCAATGTTGTGGTGAAAGTATGGATGATTTATTAACTCTGTTTCTAAATGTTTGATTGATTTTGTAGTAAAGCGATGACAAGTTTTAGAAAATTCAGATGCTCTTACTTCTTTCGGTGACTTCAGTGCCATCCCGTTTGCTTTTCTGGGTTACGTCCATACCATAGCCACCTGCGGGAAAAACCCAGAAACCATAACAGCCATGACTCTAACCATAGCTTTTAGTAAGTATGCGTCACTACTGTTCAAGCTACGGCCTAGGAATATGACTCACATCCATTTCTGGAATCAACTCATACCCACTGCTTGTCCTCAGTTATAACAGAGAACAACTTAATAGTTTCCTTTGGAGTCTAGTTCTTGGTGCAGGGACACCCCACCACCACCACCCCACCAGGATAAAATTGATCAGACTGCTCCCTGCTGGGCATCAAAGAGCTTTACGTAGCAGGTGTAGTACCCTGATTTTTGACTATGAAACTCATCCTTTTTCCAAGGTAAAAAATAGCTGAAGGATATCTGTTAAGGTGCTTAGTGGGGCACTTAATTCATTCTGAGGTACCTCATAACGTTTGTTGTTTGATATGGAACTCTCTCTCTATAAGACATTCGTGTTTCATTATTTAGAGTTTGGGTGTGATAATGATGCTTGATGGATTTAAATCAGGATAAAAATCAGGCTAAATTGTCCTATCCTATGTTGGCATAAAACTTTATACTTTTCAAGGTATGAAATTTTCGTAACAAACCTGCTCTAGTTTGCTTATATACTGACATAAGAAGGAACAATACGTGATGGTAGTATGTGTAAGGACTATAGAGATAGGTAGGATAATACATGTTTGCATGTGCTGTCTGTGTTTTCCCTTCCTTCTTGCTCCTCTTCTGAAAAGGAAAACAATTGAGATCCTTTAAAAAAAAATTTATTGTGATTTGGGTGCAAATTTACAAAGCGGATTTGTTTTACTCTCAACAGTTCCTGCACATTTTATTTCACGCCCATAACAATCCCTAACCATAAAACACTCTCTTCCCTAACCATCCCTGTGACTACACTTCTTCCCTGTGCCTTTCTTATCTATGCATTCCTGTCTGTCTAGCTTTCCCTCTATGTGAATGCTGCCCCTCTGATGTCTCATGGCTGATTGATCTAAGGCGTTGTGGTAGTTAAAGTCATATGTCAACTTGGTTGGGCCTGGTTGAGTGGCTGGGCAGCTGATGGTAGTTATTCCCCATGATGAGACTGACAATCACCTCCATGGTGGGATCTACCATAAGCAGCTGAGTAGCTGCCTTAGGGATGTGGTCTGTTTCCCGTATATAAGCAGCAGCTTTGGGAATGGTCTGTAGCTTATGGCATGCTTGGACCCTGCATGTAGCCGTGTTGTTGTTCAGTAGCCTGCCATGCTCTGCTGAACTTGGGACTTATAATGGACTTGAATTAATGGCCTGCCATGTGGTTTGGTAACATCAGGAATGTGCCATTTTATTTGTCGACCTTGGACTTGTTAGCCTCAGCAGCCAGTAAGCTGCCTGAGTGAAGAGATGCCTCTAGCTTCAGCGGGCTGGGAGCAAGAGGCGGAGCTGAAACCCAAGGTTGAGGGGTTTTCACCCAGCCCCTAGAGCCTGGCACTTTGAACTCAGATTTGAAGCCTCCTGAACTGTAAGAGAATAAACTCCTGTTTGTTAAGGCCATCACATTTTGTGGTATATTTCTGTCAGAGTGGCACTAGGTAACCAGAATAGGCGTGCATCTCCCTCAGGTTGGTGGTTCATCTCCCTGCAGTAGATGTTTTGCTTGTAGGTCTTTCTACTGTTGAGCTGAGAGCCAATCCATGGAAGTGATCCATTTTCAGGCCTGAAGGATGACCCGGGGCCATGTCTTGGGGGTTCTGCAGTAATTTTAGTCATCTTAGTGTTTTTGAATTTTGTTCTACATTTTTTCTCCCACTCTATCCATGATCTCCAATTTTGATACCATTCCAAGTGGTCAAGTGGTTGGAATTGATAGCTGGGCACCATCTAGTTCTTCTGGTCTCAGGGTGGTGAAGGCTGAGGTCTTCGTAGTCATCATATCTATGGACTAATTGTTTCCAAATGACTTTGAACAATTGAGATCTTAAGTGTGTCTTTTAGCCTTGGGAGTATGAGGAAGAGGAAGTGTGTGTGTGTGTGTGTGTGTGTGTGTGGCAGGGTAGGGGGTTGTTAACACTTAAATACACCTAAAAGCAGAACAAGGATCTTTATCCCAATTGGAATCTTTTTTGTTGCGGTGCCTGGTCTTAAAAGGTCTTGAAATTTGGCTTTCACTGTGGTTCTCTCTCCTCCACTAAAGTTCTATCCCTTGTAGATTTTCAATTGAAATTGGGTTCTAGATTCTGGGGTCAGCCACTTCTGCCCGGGAAGTCCCTTGCTTGGAGATCTTTCTTCTAGTCTTCTTCCCCTGCCTGGTGACTTCAGGACCAATTTTCCCACTAAGCACAATGGGCTCAGTACACAGGCCCACAGTTCTTTTAGGGACCCAAAAAATGTTTTAATTTCTTTTAAAATCAGAAGGGAATAAATAAATAAATAAATCAACCTGAATTACATTCTTCTTTATATCAATGAAGTTGTAAAAATAATTTTTAAAACTATTTTTATAGCTTTTACATGGGGAAGGGGCCCACAAAGGCAAAAAAAAGTCTAGCACCCACAAGTCATAATGCAACTCTTGGTGCCTTCCCCGCAAAAAACCAAGACCATAACACAACCAGCTGGTCAGCTACTGGAGGAATCAACTAAGAATGTCATGGTTAGCTTCAGGGCCTGGTTGAACGTGCCAACTTCTTGCTCATTGGTGTTTCTTAAATGAAGCTCTAGGCAAGGAATGAGACATCATAGAAAATATTCTAACTCGATCTGAGAAATTACACACTGCCTTTATAGGCCTGTTCCCAGAAGCCAAGAGGAGGGGCTCCATAAGCAATTTAACAAGGGAGTCCAGTCTTATTAGAAGGTCACCCTGGCCTGTGACTATGCCTGCTTTCTAGCTATAACTGGCATGACTTATGTCATGCAAACCCATGTGCAAATAGATACCCTCTTTGAAATCCTTTGTTTAAGTATTAATTCTCTTTGGTATCTCTGAAGACCCGCCCTGCCTTTTTTTGTTTTGTTTTTTGTTTAAATGCTGTGGACAAGAAGGCATTTCAGAGATAAACATTTAAATTCACCTGGACATTGGTATGGAAGTGACTAGTTTTCTGGGGTGGCACCGGAACTAATATGAAATATTACCCTCAAAGAAGTTATTTATAAAAGTCCATAGAAATGTTTAATTCCCACAAGTTATCACATATCTGACTTTCAGCGAAGGTTGCTTTTGGCAGCTGTCAATTTGGGACTGGCCACTGGCTGGGTGTTTATTCCAGTTGTAGCTGGTAAGGTAGACTGATGATAGCTCCACTGGGTAAAAGTCTCAATCCCCAGGCAGCAAACCTGGCAAGTGGGTGATTGTTCTTTCTGCTCTCAGAAAAATAATAGACATTTCTAGGCCCCCATTTTTCTCTAAGTCCCAGCAATGGGGCTGCAATTTCTGCAGCAAAAAGCCAAGGGTTTCTCAATTTCCAGTGGGTAGGAAGAGACAGCTCAGTGAGAAATTAGATGCGCTCCTCCAGGGCTTGTGTACTGCCCATTGGAAGGTACCCTGCAAATGAACTTGGGCTAGGTGGATCCAGGTAGATGGATTGCCTTTCTCTGGTCCTGAAGCCACTCAAATGACTGTATATCCCACGGCCATGCAGAATTATTTCACAGAATAGACTTTGGTTGGCTTTGTCAAAGTTCTTGGCCGGATTAATAGCCTGAGGTGGCAGTGATGCATAGGGGAATTCCTACTGTCTATAAGTGAACATTCAAATGGAAAATGATGGGTTGAGATGCAAGCCTGGACTCGGCTCATCCCATGGACACATGGTGTTTCCCCAGAACTGCCTTTTAAAGCATTTTAAGTGCTGGTAGTTTTCAAAAGTATGACTGGCTCTGAATTGATGTTGGGGAAGGGAAAGTTACACATGCCTGAGCCTGCTTTTCCTGACAGTACTCACCATGTACTCATCTTCCGCAAGTGCTGTACAGGGGACACGCCATCAGATAGCACAAGTTAAATTCTAAGACATCAATTTCTTTACTGTTTGGGCCACTTCACTAGAAATAAGATGAGCAGTTCATCCAAGTTCTTAATTCTAAACACATACAAATTCCCACCTATGGTCTAATGGTTATTTTATTCATAGCACTCTTTCCAAGATTTAAAAATAATCTCATGTTATTTTCTTATGTTTTTTAAAAGAAGAAATTGAAACCAGTTTTCTATGTTTTTTTCCCTTTCCAACTTATTTAAATGGTGTCACCTCTACCTGTAACTATATTCAGATGGTGATAATGTGGTTTTAAATTCACAAAAACAAGGACAAACCACTGTTACCGATATTAACCACTGCACTGATCTTATTTTATTCTAATGATGCAAGGAAGAGAATGAAGAGATTGTTATTCCATTTAAAAAATTTTAAGAACAAATATTCCTATACATCACAAATATATTTTTACAGCTCTTATCTGAACTCCAGTCTCTGCACACTTCATTTATTTGTTTATGGTGGTTTGGGTGGAAGTTTACAGATCAAATGAGTTTCCATTCAACAGTTTATACACGTTTTGTTTCATAAACACTAAATTGCAATTCCCTCAATATAGCAGCACTCTTTCCACTTCCTCTCTGGGTTCCCTGTATCTGTGTCCATTCATCCCTATTTCTCTGTGTTGTTGTTGTTGTTATGTGCCGTCGAGTCGGCCCCAACTCATAGCGACCCCTCCTTGGGTTTCCGAGGCAGTATCACTACAGAAGTAGGATTGCCCAACCTTCCTTCCGAGGAGTGTACACTTGTCAATTTTAAAATAAAGCAACAATAAAATTGCCAAAATGTGAGAAAACCATCTAATTGGAGAATGCTGAGGACCAAGTAGTTTGACAGCCAGCAAAGCCAATTCTCTAAAGCCTGTTGTCTTGGAGGCTTTTGTCTCTGTGACATCTCAGAAATAGGCTTACCCACTTGCTGCATTTGGCATCCATGACTTTCATGGCTGATGGGGTAACTAGCTTTGTGGCCATGCCTTGCTTATGATAGTTTTGGTTGAGCCTTGCTCCTGCTAATAATGGCAAATGAGCCAAACAATGCAGACAGAGACCTTTTTGGTCAGGCATAATCTAAAAACATGGTTGGTCCTTAGGTCCGATCAGTTTCACAGACCCAAGTTCAAACAGGACTGTTCACTCTGATTGTCCTCATGCAAATTCTGATCTCAGGGGCTGAGCAAAGAACAGGCCCCTCTGAGTCTCTGAAGGGTGTCCGTCACAGGCTAGGCATCTTGTATTTCTTCAGTTCTGACTCAGATTTTTTTTTTTTCCCTTTTAGATTTGTGCCTTAGCTCTAAGTTAAAGCATATAGGGGAGAAGAAATATTTGTTTTTTAAAAGAATGCTTTTTTAAATTTTCACTACTTTTTATGGACATAAATCCAACTACTCGGCTACTGACAAACTGTTTTGTCGAAAGAAGTGATGTGCCTGAAGCTTTGGCTGAAATGCAGAGGTACTTTGCCAGTTAGCAGGGAGTATGGGCCAGTTAGACACCTTAGCTGGAAATCCCCAAAGGGATTTCTTTTGGCCCAAGATGGCTCGTCAGAGTATGTACACAGACAAAATTTTCTTTCTCTTATTTTTCCTTCTTCCAAGTTTGACTTCAGGAAATTTCTGGACTAATTATTCCAAAGATTCAGCTTTATGAAGCAGTCATTTTAGAGTGTGATAAACAGCAGCTTGCCCAGCCCCCTCAGCGTAACCGAGCCGCCAGCACAGGAGCCTGTCAGAAGTGTGGCCCTTCTCATGGCTCAGGGGAAGTCTCTAAAAAGCTTGCCCTAACCCCAAAAACAAAAAACCCGACTCACTGTCATCGAGTTGATTCTGACTCATAGTGACCCCCATTAGGTTTCCAAGGCCGTAAATCTTTACAGAAGTAGATTCCCCATCTTTCTTCCACGGAGCAACTGGTGGGTTTGAACCACCAACCTTCTGGTTAGCAGTCAAATGTCATAGGGACTGCATCACCAGAGCCTCTTTTGCCCTAACTTTAACTTCACCTCTGAGTTGTTCTCTGCTTTTAAGTAGGAGAGGGAGACAGAAGAGGAGAGTAAGGACAGGGAGAGAGAAAGACTGAGATTTAGAGAGAAGGAATCATAACCCTGTTCATATTCTAAATGAAACCAACTTAATACAAGTCCTTTTACAATACTGAAAACAATACCAAAAGAAAAAAAAAAGTAAAGAAAGTTGACACTATAGGCCAATATATCTTAACTGGCCTTTTTTCCCTGATGGATCTTTCTTCTTATTGTTAATCCTTTTAAAGACCTACTCTAAACAGAATGCACAAACCAAAGTAATCATTATGATCAATGAATTACGTTTACCAGAACACTTGAAACATTCTTCTTATTTTCTCCAATAAACATTTTAATTTCTAAATAGCAAACCTCAAATCAAAGTCTAGGAAAAAGAAAAGTCAAAGTTTCCTGTACTTACCTAGCTTGAGACTGTGAAGGAATGAGAATCAACTTGGATAAATCCTTCCTCTCTCTTCCCCTGATGTTTTCTTCCACAAGTTTTTTAGCTCACACTTTTTTTTTTTTAAATCCAGACTCAGCCAAGGTGTGTTAAAGCTGAGTGATCTTTCAAAAATGTTCACTTCTCCTTCTGGCTCCCTTGTTTCTTTCAGTACTTTGCTTCCAAACAAGTCCTGACAAAGGTGTGTCCTGGTTTACAGCGTTACTCCACCCTTCCAATAACCTGACACTTGCTGGTTTTTTAAAAAATCTGCCTCCAGGAATCAAACTTTACCAGAGACAGAAAGCTTCTCTGACCTGTTAGGTAGATTAACTGTTTATGAATCCATGCAAAAAAAGGGAACAAAGGTTCAGCACAAAGGAAATACCTTTATTGCTTCTTCCCTTCTATAGCTGCAGAGCTGCCAACTCAGTATTGTCCTTCTTTGGTACCATGGATACTCAAAGTTCCACTGTCCATGATTCAATATGTATCTAGACACTTGGGGGACCTATGGCCAAAGTGCCTGATCCCTAGAAAAACTGTGAAATTGGCAGGGTTTATATTTGACACCTGTTTTCCCAATATATGCCGTCTTTCCCCTATTCTGACCCACAACAGATCAAGACTGTCTGGAAAAAACAGTTGAACTAAGTCATAATAAAATGGTGAAGACTGAATTTGTTGAACAATTGGTAGGGTAGGGGTTCAGTTTTTAAAACAGGTAACCAGGTGTAATAATGATGGCCCATAGATGAGAGCTGACTTACAGAGATGAAGGGAGGGATGGAGATTGCTCTAGAGCATAGACAGAGGAAAGAGTGTTAGAGACGGCTCTGAGGTGCAAGAAACATGGTGAGTTTGAGGAACAGTGATAAGGCCAATACGTTTAGGTGCATCATGTGAGGGTAGGGTAGTAGTGGCAGAGATGCTAGAGAGGAAAAACAAATTGGAAAAAAAAAAAAAAAACCACAACTTACTGCCATTGAGTTGATTCTGGCTCATAAGGAGCCTCATTAGGTTTCCAAGGCTGTAAATCTTTATGGAAGCAGACTGTCTTATCTTTCTGCTGTGGAGCAGCTGGTGGGTTCAAACCACCAACCTCTTGGTTAATAGCCAAATGTCTTAACCACTACACCACCAGAGCTGGTGAGGAAGGGATGGGCTAAAACATGTAAGACCTCATAAATCTGGTTGTTGTTGTTTGCCGTCAAGTCGGACCCGACTCATAGCGACCCCTCCTTGGGTTTCCGAGGAAGTATCACTACGGAAGTGGATTGCCCCATCTTCCTTCCGAGGAGTGGCTGGTGGGTTTGAACCGCCAGCCTTCTGGTTAGCAGTCAAGTGCCTTAGGCACTATGCTACCAGAGCTCCCCATAAGCCTGGTAGGGAAGTGTTTATTGGTAGTAGGCAAATGTTCTTAAATTGACATTAGGGAGCAACTCTAAAGAGCCATTGTATGAGTGTTTGGATTCTTAATCCTGGGAAAGGAGGACTGGAACTAATGTTTTTAAAGGTCTTTTATGTGCCAGAAGTTTTAGATACATTATCTCATTTAATCCCTTAGTAACTCTAAAAAGTGTGTACTACTTTTCTTTTACAGCTGAGGAAAGTGAAGTTCAGTAAGATTGAGAACGAGGTCAAAGTCTTACATCTAATAACAACAGAGTCTATATTCCACTTGACTTTTGAGCCTGTGTTTCCCAGTGCCTTGTGCATTGTTAAAATGTAAGCATGACCATAGCTTGAATTGGGAGCTCTGGTAGCATAGTGGCTAAGGCACTTGACTGCTAACCAGAAGGCTGGCGGACTTGATGGCACATAACAACAAATAGCTTGAACTAAAGCAAATAGGTGATATCAAAATAAAATCAGGTTGAGGGCAAATGAAAACTTAAATAAGAACCAAAACCATCTGAACCAGTAGAGATGTTTTCAGTCAACAGCTTTATGGTGTTGACATAATTTATTGATGATTTTAGATTGCGATCTGTCCACCAGAACTCAGAAACCATAGACCAATCAATTACTTAACTACCATATGAAACCAAACACGCTGAACATTTACTTGGAGTCAGCATGGATAGTTTTTCTCTCCTCTTGGGTACTGGTATTCTCCGAGGACAATGGAAACGTCCATTGGTAGATAAACCTCAAAGTTAACTAGTCCTGGACCCTCTAATCTGAGTCAACAGTGAATAGTGTATGTGTGTATGTGCATGCTGACACATGTTCATGTAAGTGCTGTGCCAGGTACTTTTGGGGAGAAAAGAACAGAATTCAGCTCCTTACATTCTAGTTACTTGGTGTTCACAGTTTATAGGGCTAGGCAAAACTGTGAATAATAAGACTTAACTTAGTACATGGAATGAAGGGAACCTTATGTTCCATTCAACATTCATGTATTAAATTCCTACCATATGCCTGGTACTAAGGCAGTTCTCTTTTGAATGTTTTAAGCAGACCAGAAAATAGCCAAATTCTCAGTAAAATGAAGGAGCAAAGAGGTACTGAGAAGACAGCAGTGACTAAGATACTGGAAAGGTGTTTCTTGCTTCCTTCCTGGAGCTATGTTAATGAGTCATAGTAATCAAGTTTTGATTGACTAGACATAAAATTTTCTTAAAATGCAACCGGAAAAGTATTCATCCTTCCAAAATCATCTATTGACTTTTAAATAGGCTGGGGAAGGGAGGATGTCTAGTCACATGTAGCCCCGATTGGCACCACATAAGCAGATGCTCATCAGTCTCTGAGCAACGTGACTACAGGCGGACCTCACTTCACGTGGCTGACGTGTTTCTGAAAAGTAACGTGTGAATGCAGTTTTTGGTGATCAGAGTGAGCGCTTTTGTCAAGTGACTTCATTAACCTTTGAAAATATGGATTTTTCTTTCTTTGTTTGGTTTAAACCCTATAGATGATGTCTACCTATTCTGTGACGCTCTTTACATAAAATGGCATCATGGAATAATGAAGTAAATACTTATGACACTTTAGTCCAGAAATCTCAAAGCTTTGGGACACATAGGCCTTCTTTTCCCAAGAGATAATTAAAAGTAAAATTCACTGAGAAAGGGGTAAGAAAAATAACTTTATGTTTAGTAAGATAATTTCAGTTTCTAAAATTATTGAGTCAGCTCTTTTGTTAGAAAATCCACTGCTTTTAATTTTTAAATTACTGCATATTAGTATAAACATCTAGATCTAATATAAACATAATACAATGATTGTTTGTTGTAGTTTTATGTAAGGCCTAAGGCTAGAAAATCAAAGGGGCATCTGGCCCTTTCTTCAGTAGCATGTGCTCCTGGATACTAAGACTTTCCTATAAACAGTTATGACAACAGCATATGTCACTGTTAATGTAGCACGTTGGCTTTTGGAAAGATGGGATTGAGAAATAGCCAACTTCTGCCCTTAAACAAGTGAGTTTAAGGTCTCCTTCTGCTTTTCCTATCTCTATTGCTTCTTGAATTGTCCCACAACTGTGTTCTTTGCTGCCTTTGTAATCATAACAAAATAGCCTGGGTTCCCTTGTTCCATATCCAGCTTCAGATCTATTCATTCATTTCTCCATATCCTTAAACTCTCTATTGAGTGTCTGCTTAAGGAAGGCACTGGGCATACAGATGCAGTTGAGGATGAGATGTAAAACCTGCCTTTAAGGAATTTACAATGTGAAAAAAAAAAGATGTATTGATATATTCACATACACAAATAATTACAATATAGGGAAGAATGTGGTAAACCATGAGAGAGTTAAGAATTTTGCAAATTCACTCCCCGGTGTGGAAGTCAGCCAATACTTTATGAAAGAGGTGTCATTTGGACTGGACCTTAAAGAATGGGTATTAAGAAGTGGAAGGTGGAGATGGAACTTCAAGCACAAAGTCCACCATGAGAGGCACAGACACAAGGAAGAGTAAGGGTTGGAGAATAATGAGACAGTGTGAGGAAGGAGAGTAGACAGGGAGAGGTTAGAAAGGTGGAAGGTGTCAGTCAGATCAAAGGGAATCTGTAATACCAGGCTGAGGAGTGGCTATGTCATCTCATGGGTGAGGGAGAAATATGGGAAGTAGAAAGGATGAAATGATGAGAGCTGTGACAATCAAAGTGTAATTTGGTGGTATAGACAGTGGATTGGAAAAGAAAGAGATGAGGTAGGAAGACTGATCAGGGCACCATGGCAATAGTTCAGGTGTAAGATGATGAGGACCTGAACTGCAGCAAGGCAAAGACGAAAAGGGAATGAGAGGGCTAATACCAGGAGACCGGGCAAAGACAATGACATTTAGTGGATGTTTGCTGTTATGATGAGAGGAAGGGTGGTCCTGTGATGCTGCTGAGATTTTCCCAAGAAAACTACTGGCCACAGCAACTTCCCTCTTCCCTTTGCTAAGTTACCTTCCTCAAAAGTCCACCTGCTAGAATTTACATTCTGGTGGAGGACATTGGGGAAAAAAAGGTAATCCCCTTTGGCTTGAATACTCCTTTACTCCCATCCTGTATTCACTACCTAACACATTATAAATGGGAAGTTTAAAAAGAAAAAGAAAAAAGCTTGGTTTTGAAGACTTTGGATATTAGGATAATCTTAGGATATTATCTGATGACAAGCATAATTAACTTAAAACCACCATATGTTATTTCTAACACGAAAAATGTAAACCAAACCCACTGTTGTTGAGTCAATCCTGAGTCATAGTGACCCTGTAGGAAGTAGAACTGCCTCATAGGGTTTCCAAGGCTGTAAATCTTGATGGAAGCAAACTGCCTCATTCTCTCCCACAGAGGGGCTGGTGATTTGAACTGGTGACCTTTTGGTTAGCAGCTGAATGCTTTAACCACTGCACCACTTGGATGTGTGTCCTTAGTTTGTATAACAGTTTTCCAAATCTTGTAAGTTTTCTTTTCACTTTTCACAGTTCATTTTTAAGTCCATCTCTTTCCTCTCACATTTTACTTTGAACGGCAAGGAGAAACCACATGGACCCTTTAAGATCTTACTTAGAAATTTCCTCAGCCAGATATCCAAGTTCATCACTTGCAATTACTGCCTTCCACCAACATTTGAACATAATTCAGACAAGTTCTTTGCCACTGCATACGAAGCATCAC